GAATGTCATGAGTCTTGGTGCCACAAACAACCCTATGAAGGAGCTGGATCATGAAGCATGGCCTATTGATGTTCTTCCCACTGTCTAGGTATTTTCATAAGGACCAATTCTATGAAGGTAGCCACGTGCCTTCTTTCTTTCCTGGGAAGAACCACCTTATTCACAAACCAAAAGATCACCTTGTGAAAGGGCTTCATCTCACTCCTGTACACAACTGTGGGTTCTCCCTCCAAGTTATTATCAGCAAATTTCTTTATGATAGCCAGTGAGGTGGGAAGATTATCTTGACTTGGCCATTTGAGCTTTGTATAATTGTTATACTCTTCAGGAGGTATACCTAGAATCTCGCTAAGCTTCTTGTCATAAAAGCTTATTTTTACCCCTTTTACCTCACGGGTGACCCTTCCATTGGTCACCTTACAATGCACAAAGAATTCTATAATTTCAGTTTTGGCCAACCTTTCTTCCAAATGAAGGACCATGTCCTTTCATCCTTGTAACTCCAATTTTTCCAGCAGTAAAACCATTCCTTCTTCATCCACATCGCGAAGAAGCCTACCCTTCAAAATGGTCCTTTTTTGGAACTTTACCAATTTATCTTCCTCCTCATCAATCTCTTATTCTCTTTCTTCCTCCACCACTTGAACTTTCTTGGCTTTTCTAGCAGAGCTGGTTCTCTTGGACACAATAGAGTCTTCTGCCTCAGCAACATTTCCTTGAGACTTCTTCAGAGAAGTCTTTCTTTTGTTAGCACTGGGAGTGGGTACTTCCATCCCCTCTATCTCATCCTGCTGGACCAGGTCCATCCACTATATAAATTGCCTCACTTGTTTCTTCAACTTTTTCCCCTTTTGCAGAAGCTTTCTTGGCACTCTCAGCTAAGGCCTTTTTCATGTTGGCCTCACTTTGCTTCTTCTGGTTCCTTGTAGTTTTTCCTCTTGTGGGAGGAGTTCTACAGGGATAGAAGAGGCAGCCTTTCTCTTCTTTTCACCGATACCCTTTCTATGAATTTTTGCACCAGCACTTCTCTTTTTTTTTTCTAGGGATTCTAACTATCAGACACCTTTTGCAGTAAATCTTGAAGGGGGTTTGTCTACTTTTAGCAAGAGAAGGAACTAGTTCATGAAACCATTTTCTCAACCTAATATGTCCCTCTACTGCACTTTTATCACTAGAACTATCACCTATCTCCTGTGATTATATCCCCATACTTTCATTCATAGTCTCTTCATTACCACTAATCTCTTCACTCCAGACCACCATTGCACATGTCTCTTCATGTAATCCATAACCAATGGGTAAACCAAATCCATCCACTTGTTCTTCCACCCTTCCCCTCGCACTAGCCTCAACACCCTCGCTCTCTTTTTATTTTCTTTTTCATTTTTACCACCAATATCCTCATCACCAACATCTACTTTTTAGTACCATCCATAGACCCAACCAATACAAATTGATTCTCATATTTTTTTTCAATTTTAGAACCAAACTCAAGGATGGAAACTTAGAGGTTACTTGTTCAGTTTCAGAAGAAACTAGTTCTTCCCCCTCAGCCGCCAACTAGAAAGAATCATTAAAATTTGTGTTTCTTCTGCTGACTGGCTTGCAATTTCTCATTTAATTTTTGGCATGTTCTCCGTTTGCTATTGTTTTATGCACAACCATTTAAAACGGTATTTATTGGGAGTTTGGGTGGTTGAAGGTGTGGGTGCTAATGGAGGTTAAGGATCTTTATTTGGTGAAGAAGGATTTTCAGAGGTCTTGGGATTTTCAGAAGTGTTTGCCGTTTGATCAGTTCAAGAATCTGAGAGAGTTTGAGAAATGTTTAGGGCTTTGGTATTTTGATATTTCAAAATTTCGCAGAGAAGAAGGGAAAGTCAGATCAATATAAGAAGGAAGAGGTTGACTGTCTAACAACAGCTTTTGGAGTTTAGAAGTCTTTTCTCATTGTGAGTGTCAGTTTGAAGAGACGTTGGACTCTTCCCCAAAATTTTAGTAATCATGGCGCGTGGGGATCGGGTTGGTGGGAACCGGTTCGTTTGTAACTGCTCAGCTTAGAAAGTGTTTGGGATAAGTGGGACTCATTTTCAAATCATGAATCTTTAGTAGTTATTTCAACTTATGCGGAATGTAGAATACATACCTTATAAGCTTGATGAACCATGTAAGTTCTCTTGTGTAAGACTGAATTATCCAAGAAAATAAGGGTAATATCATTAGACATCAATGACACATTTTGGTACATGGAACAAGAGTATACTAATTGATAATTGTAACTTTTATTACTAATCTTTAAAAGGTATTTACACTGTGTATAACTCAAAAGAATTTTGAGAAAGTAGGACTTGTATGAATATTGTTCGAAAGAAGTGGCGAATGTAGCATATAATCAACAAGTCAATTAAATCAGTTTTTACTATGAAATATAGATATATAGTAATTTTATGTATGAAGTGTGTGTGTAATCACTATAGGTTTTAAAATTTAATATTAGCCGAATTAATAATTCTCAAAGTTGAATAGGATTAAATAATAAGAACCTAAAGTTTAAACCCATCATATTTAGATTCTAATTAATTGGAGTATATTTTGAAGCCTAGCTGGTTAGCATCTCATTTCTTGAATATTCTACTACTACATTCGAACTTTCGCCACAATTTCACTCATCGTAAGGGAGGACGAAATGGCACCGACCATATATAGGCCCCATTTCTTTGGTCCACGGCGTGCAATAATAAGACAGAGTTTCAGCTCATCACAAAACAAACCCATACATGGCCAGTAAAGCTTCCCTTACCAAAAACTCTCCCCTTTCCCCTTTTCATAAACCGTTATTTGATGTGCAAATGCCACTTCGTTCTTTTACTCATGAAAAGGTATTTAGTGATGGGGTCCTCCTCAGTAACTAAAAAAACTGTCGGTTCTCCTTTCGGTTTCTAAACTTTCCTAGTATTAATTTTTTACTTCTGGTTCTTTAAACCCCATTCATGCATGTATGTCTCTTTCACACAACCACCAAAAGTATTGTAATAATTTGAAAATCTCCTCTCTCTCCCTCTTTTTTTTTTTTTTTTTTTTTTTGAGTTAACTCTAATATTTAATTTGTTGGGTCTCTATTTATTATATTATCAATCCTTGTTTATCTATTAGTTTTCAGTTCTTATCTTCGACACAGGGTAGAGCAATTTGGTATCATTATTACAATATGCTTATATTTTAGGAAATCAAACCGAATATGCTCTATATACTGCTCAGGTGAAGAGGGCGCAACTGTCAAGCCATTGTATGAGTTATAATAATATTTGTGGTATAGTAGTAGTTAGCTTTATTATTCAACATGTTCTTGAGTGTTCTTCAAGGGATGGTCACCATATATACTGTAATATTTGAGCCTTATGTTATAAGTTTAGTGTTCCAATGCTCCTCATCAAAATATGTTTTTGGTATGCCATGCCAAATAAGAAGGAAGTTGCTAAGAGAGTTACAAACTTACAATTATATTCTCTAGCAAAATTATTAACACTTATATATCCAATTTTGAAACGATAATTACTATTAGTATAGAGCCGGCAACTAGTGTGTGTATATATATATATATATATATATAACTATCTTATAATACTCCTACAATATAACATAGTGCCAATTACTTGGCCATATATAAAGAGATCATTGGGCATGGACTTGAAATAGGCAAATAGCGAGCTAATTGATCATATGCACTATGTAATGCTAAAGTTAACAGATAGAGACTGATATTTTCTCAATGTAAGGTCAAACATATATATAACATCCTTCTATATTCATTTGTAACTGTCATGATCAACCTGGAAACCATAACCACTTAACTACATATGACAAATGCACAAGCAGTCAAACTCTATTTTGATGGGACTAAACGTAGTTTGTATGAGTAGGACCATCCATTGAACAAAGCACTATTCCATAACTAAGCATTTATGTAACCATTTTTTCCAAAAGACAGGAATATACACTTTGAAAAATAGAATGATCAGCGCTTGCTTTACGAAAAAGTCTATTTTTCAATTAGGAGGAAAGGTACTTTACGACATAAACAATTGGTCTTTAGTGGATAATGAATAGATTATTCCAATTAGAGTTAGTGAGAATCTTGGTACGACAGTTTGGTACTCTTGGCTATCTTACTCTGCATGTCATTAAACGCCAAGATAATGTTTCAAAAGCTATCCAAAGCCCAAAGTTGTACTAGTATTATAAACATTAATAATCTTTTAGTCTAATGTCCACTATGTTGCACAGACCCTAATGGACAACCTTATGCACATTGGAAACTGCATTAATATAAGAGACACAACTAAAGAGCTTCTCAATGATGAGGAGACACAAGCGAAGAAGCTGCAATAAAAATTATTGACATATGATGAAGAATTAACTAATTTCTAATTATCAAGAGGCCTAACCCATAATTGGCCACTCATATAGAAAATGAGTTATTGTGGCCCGAAAATATATACCTATTCGTTACTTTAATCATTAGCCTTACTATAATACTACCGGCATTTAAAGTATGCGTTGTTTGATTTAACTCTAGTACAACTCTTTGCAGATAAGTTAAAATTAAATCCAAAAGAAAAGTTATAATTAATTCCTACAAAACTAGGCATATGTTAGAATCATATATTACTACATTACTTTCACATTTATAAGAAATATAAGATTGAAAAAAAAAAAGTTGCGAAGGGAATTTCTTTTTTTTAAAAAGCAAGAATAAAGTGAACCTTTAGAATATACTTGTGTTCATCTTTTCTTTGTTCTTTTGCTTTCAGACTCTTTGACAAATAATTCTGATTGAACCAAAAATTGTGACATCCATTTTACAATTTGAATGGGACCCATGTAAGTACTTGGAATGGCACTTTAGCAATTTGAGATGATAATAAGGGTATATTTGGCTGAATGGTCTTATATAAAGTGTCAATAACCACCTCATTTCAGTATTTCACTACTTCCTAGTTCCAAATTCCAACATAGTAACCACCTGAAGTAGAAACATTAATCCTCTTTAACAGTTTTGTTTCAAATGAAGAAGAATTATAAACACTCTCCTCTAATCTTTCTCCTTGCTCTTTTACTTATTTTCTTCACTACATTTACAATGGTATCAGTTGAGGCTAGGAAACACCATACAAAGAAGAGCAAAATACACCACAAACATAGGAAAAATGGAGGTGGAAATAAAGCACCAGGTTGTTCAGAGACTCCTTCTCCCACCCCAACTCCAGCTCCTTCTCATGGTTTTTACCCTACAGAGCCTCCCATTTTTGATATCTTGTCCTTTGGAGCCAAAGGTGATGGAGTTTCTGATGATTCCAAGGTAAAGCAAAGCTAATTACATAAAGTTCATGTTTTATACACTGAAAATGTAAATTTTTTCATATAATTAGATATTTGAAAGACAGTCACATATAAATTTAGGTGATTGGACAATATTTTCTTGAAATTGGAAGAGAAAAAGTACTTGAAGTTAAAGTTCAAATAGAGTTTTTGAAAGTTATTATATCTGGACATGAATTTCACTTGGAATAAAAGTTGAAATCGGAAATAGACTTCAAGATTTAGATATTGAGAGTGTAAATTTGTTCATATTATTAAATCATTTAAAAGACAATTACAGGTGTTTAGACACTATTTGATTGAATTCTGGAAAAAATAGATAGTATCTGAAGTTTAAGTTCAAAAAACGTATTTGTAAATTATTTGGTTTGGATATGGATTATGTTTCACTTGGAATAAAATTGAAGTATTGTGAGTGAACCGTTATATCACCTGAAATTCTCCTCAAACTAAACATGTTTTTCAGTATTTTATTAGTATTTCTAATATCGCAGTTTGGTATTTTGAAAAACTGATGAACAAATCATTATTCTCAAATACTGATTAAACAACATTAATAGAGTAAAAGAAACTTTAAAAATTTTATGTATAAAACATAACTCCAATCCCATATTATGGTTTTCGTCAACAGTATTGAGCTTAGTGTCTAACCATGGAGAAAATCTTCATCTCTTTGATATATGTATAGGCACTTGAAGCAGCATGGGAAGCTGCTTGCAAAGTCCAAGGGGCTACTCTACACATTCCTTCAGAATTCCAATTCTTAATCAGTCCCATTACACTTCAAGGACCATGCATGCCTAACTTTATTTTTCAGGTTTATAAATTAATATTCTATTCCCTCATCTTTCACAGTCTCTAATACCCACGCCCTAAAAGATTAATTTTCTCTTCACTTGCAAAAAGTATATATAACAGGAAATATATATTCTTTGCCGGCTAAAAGTTCCCCTTTTTTATGATTTAAAAGTTACTATTAGAATTCTGTGGAATTAAATAATTAAAGTGCAGGTAGATGGAATTCTCTTGGCTCCTTCAAAAGTAGGAACCTGGCCCAAATCCAGCTTGTTCCAATGGTTGAATTTCAAGTGGATACACAATTTTACCATCCAAGGAACTGGCACTTTTGATGGCCAAGGCTATAACTGGTGGAAACTTTCTCAAATTGATTATTTCCAGGTTTGTACTTTTGTACCTCTAAGAATATTACTCTAACTTTACACACAAAGTAAGAAAAAACGACAGCCTTAGTGAGGCAGGAGGTTAATGAGAACCCTTATATTACTTCTAATACAATATTACTTCTACATATTAACTGTATAAAGAACTTTGGCACTATCACTTATTTTAATATGTTGTAATACATAGCATATTTTATTTTTTAAGTTATTAATCATACATTTTTGTGAATAGTTACCTGTGGTTATTATTCAAATGACCTTTAGTATAAGAGCTCTTTCGCAATGTTAATGTGTAAAAATGATACTATGCTTTATGTTATTACACATGAAGGAGAGAGTCGGTGTTTTACCCCCCATAAACTTAATTGTAGAATGGGCACAATATATCGATCCTAATCATAGTATTGAGTGTGCGAATAAAGTTCTACATTAATTTTATTTATAATGTTGGGTGTGCGAACAAAGTCCAATATTAGTAGCTGAAAAGGTTGGGACGGTATGTATAAAGTGTAGGGATACCCTAATTAATGGTACGATGTGCGACCTTTTGAGAAGAAAAAAAAACGTACAGGTGCGGACCAAAGCGGATAATTTCATACTATGTTAATAGTATATTTGGGCTGGTTTAGCCCAACACATAATATCACTAAATTAAACCATTTTTTTTTTGGTCGAAAAGATACACATTGCATAGATACTAAAACCATCTTTTCATGTTAATGATCATAATATTCTTCTCTCATTTCATATTTTTTTTTTACAGGAGATGAAGACATCTAAAAGCATTCCTGATATAAAACCGACTGTAAGTAGAATATATAAGGTGTCTTCCTTTATTTAATTAGTTGAATGCAGTTATGAATGAATAACTTTTTCTTTTTAAAATTTTGGATGACAGGTTTTACGATTTTATGCTAGCTATAATGTGACGGTTCGTGATATCAAGATTATGAATAGTCCTCAATGTCACCTAAAATTTGACAACTCTAAAGGAGTAAAAATCAATAACGTTACAATCTCTGCACCAGAAAGTAGCCCAAACACTGATGGTATTCACCTTCAAAATTCTCAAGATGTTGAGATCCATCATTCCAATATAGGAACAGGTAAACATTCTTCTTATTAATTACCTTGGCTTAATTAACTATTCCCTCAGTCCCAACTTATTTAGCATAAATTGGATTACGAGAGTCAAACTCCTTAATTTTGACTGTAAATTTAAATATATATTTTTAAAAGTTTTAAAATGAAATTTACATATTTGAAAATTACATATAAAGTACTCAAATTGACTCTCGAAAATCTAAATCCCGCCACATAAATTGGGATTGCGGAGAATAAAAATTGTAGCATTTTCTTTTTCATTTTGTTCTTTTTCTTTGATTAAACAAAGGAGAACAAAAAAGTATATACGATAGTTGCTACCACGTGCACTTTTGATAAAGTTTCTAAAGGTCCCATGTCAGCCTCCTCTTTCAAACGATAAACGGTCACTAAACTAACTTTTTGTCTTGCCCCCAACATTAAAGTATGTAATATTATAAAGAACATTTAACGTAGTCCAAGTGATTCGTGGTGTATAAATGCCTATGTACCATAGCTTACATAATTAATAATAGTAAGAAAATTGACACCTAACTTTATCCTTGAACCAATTGTTGGTACACCACTAAAATATTAAAGTGATTAAATTACTCAATCCAATGTTGTTGTCCATTAGGATACTTTAGGTAAACTTATTAAGATTTGGTAGTAGAAATGACCTAATTAAGGTTGCATCATTCTTCTAATCTCAATAATTCTTTGAATTACCAGGAGATGATTGCGTGTCAATTCAAACTGGTTGCTCCAATATTCATGTCCATCACATAAATTGTGGTCCTGGACATGGGATAAGGTAATTAATCACTCATTTATCTTATGAAGCAAAATTATGCTTGTATATTAGCAGTAAACTCAGATTTATTTATTAGAGTTTGATATGCTTATTATATGTAGTTTCTAATTAATTTGCTTTTTCATATTATGATAATCCCAGCCTCGGAGGACTAGGTAAAGATAAAAGCGTTGCATGCGTTTCAGACATCATTGTTGAGAACGTGAACTTGGAAAGCACTATGTATGGTGCACGGATTAAGACATGGCAGGTGGGTGCTCGAAACTTATAAAATAGTACATAACTACATATTAAAAATTGGCAGTTTGTTAACCTAAATTCTTCTGACACTCGTAGTTAGTTAAGTATTTAATTTCTATACATTGGGAGTGTAAAATCTTTTTATACCATTAGTAAATTTCAACTAATGTAGCAGGTAATATGCATTATCTTCCAGGGTACTAATCCCAATCTTTTATAGACAGTTTCATGTTGTTATCTTCTAATTACATGTTGTAGCAGATACCTTATCTTATTTTTGAGATTACAGCTCTCACATTTTAAGGAGGCTTACATGTAGATATCCATTCGCTGACCTGCCAGTGTAAAATAATCTTTATACAGATGGTGTATATAACTTAAACTCATTTAGATGAACAATGTGTAGAAGTTATAACTTGTTAGTAAGTTAGTAATTATTTATGTAACAAGAAATAACATTAGTTTCTATATTGGTTTGTAGGGTGGTCTTGGATCTGTGAAGAACATATCATTTTCGAACATTCAAGTGTCAGATGTTAAGGTTCCAATCATGATTGATCAATATTACTGTGACAAGCATGTGTGCAAGAATCAAACAGGAGCTGTAGCAATATCCAACGTTAAGTTCAATCAGATAATAGGAACTTACTCTGCCAAGCCAATTCATCTAGCTTGCAGTAACTCAACTCCATGCACAGACGTTGATCTAATTGACATTCAATTAAAACCATCGTTGAATTATCGGGGAATTCAGCAGGGATTGTGCTGGAATTCTTATGGAAAATCACAAGCACCACTTCTTCCTTCAAGTATGGATTATTGTGTAAGAAGGGGAAGTGGTTTTGTTAGAAGAATATCAAGATCCCATGAAAATATTTGCTCGTAAAATTTTATGTATAGCCATTATATTTCCTAGTTTTTTTTTTGTCTTTCAGGTGTTGTTGTAAATTTGTGTCTGTTTAAATTTTCCTTGGTTGTTTTCTCTTTCCTCTATGTTTTTGCGATGGGAAGGCACAACTTCTAGCCAGTCTAGAAATATGCGATATATAGATGAATTTTGGGCTGTATATTTTCAAGCATTCTCTAAGTTTTTAGTTTCTCTCATTTCTTTTTCCTTTTTATTATTTGCCGAAACGTAACCCTCTTCTTTCAATATATTTATTCACGGAACACTATATGACTTAAACCCTCTTCTTTCAATCTATAAGACAGAAAACTTGACTAGAAGATCACACCATCATAAGATAATTAAATGTACAAGTGTTAAAGAAATTGGGTGTGAGAAGGGAAAGAGAGTTTCGTGGAATCTGTCTAGTCTAAGGTAAGATGAATGTAATAATTTAAACCAAAATCTATATCCAAAGCTAGGTACAAGTGTTGGATAAGAAAAGAATTATAAGGAGAAAGTAAACAAAAATAGAACAAAAAGAGATGAAAAGCTACTGTAACTCTTATATTTCTGATAATACGAAGTGTAAAAGAACTGCCTATAAATAGGCTTACAAAGAAACTGAAAATACTAAAATCTAGCTCCACTAATCCACTTACCCACTAAAGCTAATCAATATCTAAACTTGCTTAAATAAAGGAAACCAACTAACAAACTCCTAAAGACTTGGTCACACATTTTTGAATCACTTCTCAACACTCTCCCTTGATTCAAAAGTGCAAACTCCAAGTTGACCTCTGAAGAACTCGTGCTTTGCTTGCGGAAGTGACTTTGTGAAGATGTCTGCCGCTTGCTCATTCGTACCACAAGTCTTCAAAGTAATTTCTCCAGTAGAAACAAGACTCCGAATATAGTGATAGCGAATATCGATGTGCTTTGTTCTGCTATGAAATGCTGGCTTTTTCGACATTGCAATAGCAGATCTGTTGTCACAGAATATATCAGTTGCATCAGCTTGTTTTTGATTGAAATCTGCAACAAGTCTCCTTAACCATACTGCTTGACAAGCTGCCGAAGTTGCTGCAATATATTCATCCTCTGAAGTTGATAATGCCACCACTTCCTGCTTCTTTGAACTCCATGAAATTGCTCCAGATCCGAGATTAAACAAGAAACCAGATGTGCTCTTTCTATCATCAATGTTACCTGCCCAATCGCTATCAGTAAAGCCAGTTAATGTGAAATTTGTTACCTTAGAATACCAAATTCCATGATCTATTGTCCCTGCGATATATCTCAGTATTCTCTTTGCAGCTCCAAGGTGAAGTTTGCTTGGACTATGCATAAATCTTGACACTACTCCAACAGAGAAAGCAACATCTGGCCTCGTATGAGACAAATAATTTAAACCACCAAAAAGACTTCTAAAATAAGTTGCATTTGCCATTTCAGTACCATCATCAAGACACAACTTCTCATTAATATTCATTGGCGTAGCAGCAACTTTACAATTCACCGTATTAAACCTTTTTAAAAGATCTGTTGCATATTTTCTTTGTGAAAGAAATATGCCATCAATTCCTTGTTTCACCTCAAGACCAAGAAAATAATGCAGTAGACCTAAATCAGACATCTCAAAATTCTTCATCATGCAATCTTTAAATTCAGCCACAATAGACTCACGTGAACCCATATATATTATATCATCAACGTAAAGACATACCGCCAAAAAATTATTTTTACCTTCTCGTTTGATATAAAGAGTAGGCTCATTGTTACTACTTTCGAAATCACTGTTCTGAAAATAAGAATCAATTTTGAAGTACCATGCCCGTGGCGCTTGCTTTAAGCCATAAAGTGTCTTTTTTAACCTGTAAACCTTATCTTCTTTGCCGTTAACTACAAACCCTTCAGGTTGTGAGACATAAACTTATTCTTCCAAATCACCGTTTAAAAAGGCAGATTTAACATCAAATTGGTACACTGGCCAATTTAATGTTGCAGCCAAAGCTAAGAAAGTTCTAACAGTTTCAAAGCGGGCAACATGAGAAAAGGTTTCATCAAAGTCGATACCTTGTTGTTGGGAATAGCCCTTTGCGACAAGCCTTGCCTTGTGTTTTTGAATGCTTCCATCTGCATGATACTTGGTTCTAAACACCCATTTGAGCCCAATAGCTTTCTTTCCTTCTGGCAAATTAACCAAGTCCCAGGTCTGATTTTTTTGAATAGCTAATAGCTCCTCTTCCATAGCTTTGCACCATTTATCCTCTTTTTTAGCATCTTCAAAGCAAATAGGATCTGAAACAAGCAAAGCGAAAGTACATGATGTACTGTCAGCATACTTGGGATTTGGTTTTCTATCCCTTGTTGATCTTCTTAATGGAATTGGCTCAGCTGAAGGTTCTTCCAATGTTGGAGAAGTTGATGGTTGCATTGATGAGACAATTGATGGATCTCATGAAGAAGGATCTGCTACATGCTCTTGATCAACAACATCATTAGTAGGCAACAATTGAATATTTGAACTTTCATTTCCAGAATTAAAGTTCCAGCTTGCATCTTCATTAAACACAACATTTCTACTGATTATAATTTTTCCACTCACTGGATTATATAGCTTATAAGCTTTAGATTGTGTGCTATAACCAACAAAGACACATTTTTCAGATTTTTCATCAAGCTTGCGTCGAGCCTGTGAATTCACCAAAGCATAAGCTACACATCCAAAGACACGTAAGTGGCTTACCTTGGGCTTGTTACCTTTCCATGCTTCATATGGTGTTCGATTAAGAACTGCCTTGGTGGGTGAAATATTCAGCACATAGACAGCAGTGGCAACGGCTTCAGCCCAAAAAGACTTTGAAACACCTCTAGCTTGCTTCATGCTTCTGCCCATCTCGATAATTGTGCGATTCTTACGTTCGGCTACACCATTTTGCTCTAGTGTATAAGGTGCTGTGAGCTCTCTATGTATTCCATTTTCCTCACAGAAGGAACTTAATTCATTTGACATAAATTCACCACCTCTATCTGTCCGAAGAGTTTTGATTCTACATCCACTTTGCTTCTCAACAAAAGATTTAAATTTCTTGAAATTCTCTAAAGTTTCAGATTTAAATTTCAAGAAATATATCCAACTCATACGACTATAATCATCAATAAAAAGCAAAAAGTATCGACTTCCCCCTAAGGACTCAATACTCATAGGACCGCACAAGTCAGCATGTACTAACTCGAGACAAATAGAAGCTCTCCAAGACTTGCCTATAAGAAAAATATTTTTACTTTGTTTTCTATAAACACAACTTTCACAAAAATCAAGATTCTCAACTTTTGGCAATCCAAAAACCATTTCCTTTTGGCTCAATAGCTTCAGTCCATTAACATTTAAATGTCCATAACGCAAATGCCATAGCCTAGTATCATTATCACTACTAGCAATCATAGCACATTTCTCGACCATTAAAACTTCTAAAGGAAACATTTTGTTGTTAGTCATTGGAACTGTAGCAATGGTTTGTCTAGATTTCTTACTTCTAATAGTGCAAAAACCATCATCAAAAGAAATCGAGTATCCGCTAACCATTAGCTGTCCAATGCTAAGCAAATTATGAGATAGACTAGGAACAAACATCACATCTTCTAATATTTTAGCATTACCTTGGCTGGTTCTAATGCTAACAGTATCTCTGCCTTCAAGTTGGATCTTCTTGTTGTCTCCTAGCCTCACGTCTGATTTTTTGGACTCGTCAAGTTCTTTGAACAATGATCTTGTTCCAGACATATGATTGGAACATCCACTGTCCAAAATCCAAACATCGTTAGGAATTTCTTTTTCACTATAAAATGCCATAAACAACTTACTCTCATCGTCATTTTTTTCTGCAAAACTTGCTTGGTTATTTTCATCCTTCTGCTTTTGCCAACAATAAACTTCCTTATGACCTGGCTTTCTGCAGTAATTGCACAAAAATATCCTATTTTGCTTCTCTTCATTTGATCCTCCTCTATCTCGACCTCTTCCTTGGCCTCTTCCACGACCTCTTTCACGAAAACCACCTCTGCCACGACCACGATTAGAAAAATTTTCTGACTTATCTTTTTGATGGGTGGACTCTCCCTTCACCTGAAATGCCTTTTCTTCATTTTTTTCATGTAACCTTAGGAGCCTTTCTTCATGAGCTTGCAAAGAACTCATTAGTTCATCAAAAGAATAATCAGATAAGTCATGAGATTCCTCAATCGCAACAACAACATGTTCAAACTTTGGAGTAAGACTCCTTAAAACTTTTGCAACAACAATTTCTTCAGATATGTCTTCACCATAAGACTTCATTTGATTAACAAGAGAAGAAACTCTAGACAAATAAGTTTGAACAGATTCATTACTTTTCATAGAAAGAGTTTCAAATTCACGACGGTAAGTCTGCAATTTTACCGTAATTACTTTAGCTGAACCTTGAAATTCCTTCTTCAAAATCTTCCATGCCTGCGAAGACGTAGTTGCTGCTGCAATTCTTGAAAAGATTGTGTCATGGACTGCTTGTTGAATGAAACACAGTGCTTTGGCATCCTTCTTTTTGATCTCTTTCAATTTTTCCACCTCTTCGTTAGAGCTTGCTTGATCCACAAACCCTGCTTCCACCAGCTCCCAAACTCCTTGTGATTTGAAAAGAGTTTTCATTTTGATACTCCAAAACTCATACTTTTCACCAATAAAAATTGGAATAAGTGGTTGTGAAGATGATGAAATACCATTCACGGCCATTTTTCTTTTGCTCTCACACTTTCTCTCTAGTTTCACTCAAATACTCACCCAATTTTGAAAAGAACGGGGCTCCGATACCAGATTTGTTGGATAAGAAAAGAATTATAAGGAGAAAGTAAACAAAAAAATAGAGCAAAAAGAGATGAAAAGCTACTGTAATTCTTATATTTCTGATAATACGAAGTGTAAAAGAACTGCCTATAAATAGGCTTACAAAGAAACTGAAAATACTAAAATCTAGCTCCACTAATCCACTTACCCACTAAAGCTAATCAATATCTAAACTTGCTTAAATAAAGGAAATCAACTAACAAACTCCTAAAGACTTGGTCAAACATTTTTGAATCACTTCTCAACAAGTTCAATCACACTTGTTTACACGTACTGTGATTGGTGATGAAAACTATATA